TGATGAGTGGTGTATGATGAGTGGTGTATGATGAGTGGTGTATGATGGGTGGTGTGTGATGAGTGGTGTATGATGAGTGGTGTATGATGAGTGGTGTATGATGAGTGGTGGTTGAACAGCTGTTGAATGTCCGTAACACGGAAGTTTTGCACACTAAACTTCCTTTGACTACTACTACTACTGCTACTACTACTCCTGCTACTACTGCTTTACTCCACCTCCACCTCCTCCTCTTCCTCCTCCTACTACTACATGTACTACTTGAAGAGCAAACGTCGCATGGAACGGAACGGTCCAAGCCACGGGGGGACCCCCTCAATGAATCAAACACTTAATTACCTACCGCCTGATTATTGAAAATTGATGAAAAGTGATCGAGGGTACCTCCACCGCACAATTACTGTAATTTTCAATAGATTTTGCTTGGAGGCCCCCTAACACATTGACTACTCACAAACCCCTCAAGTGATTTCGACTCCCCTGGTAGCAAGCCCCATCCAGTAATCCAAACATCTCGCAACTCCTCCTTGGTGGCTACTTTCCTGGCTCGTTTTTGTGGGGCTGCTGATGCATCCCCCAGCACCTTCCCAGACCTATGTTTTCCAACTAAAGTATAATCTACCCTTTGTCCAGGGGCATACCCCTGCTGAAATATGTTTTGTTGCCTGGTTTTGAGTGTGGTAGCTGGTTTCCTGCCTGGTTTTTGTGAGGCTGGTGATGCATCCCCTTGCACTTTCCAGGCCTATGCTTGCCAACTAAGTTAATTTACCCCTCCTCCAGACGCCAACACCCCCTGAATTCATTTCCGTTGCCTTGTTTTCAGTGTGGTGGCTACTTTCCTGCCTGGCCTTCAGCTGCCTGCTTTTTGTGGGTCCCCTGCACTTTCACAGCTCCTCCAAAGACCAACCCCCTGAATCAATTTGTGTTGCCTGGTTTGAGTGTGGTCGATCAGACACACATACATGTACATTTGAGCATTGTCGTAAACCCCTATGTCATATAATTTTCTTACGCTCCTGCTTACGCTTTTCTTACGCGACCACAATGTGAGCTTACGCGCCGCCGATAATCAAGAAGACCTTACGCAAATCTTACGCATCTGCATTTTCACACATGAGAACCATACTCCCAAGGGAAATGCTTACGCGGAGGCTCCTTTTGAAGGTACCTTTCTTGACAAGGTGTATGCTAAGAATCTACCAATGAAAACACAACCATATGGCAAGCTTACGCAGCATGCATGTCTCACAACTCCCTTACGCAACCTTACGCTTTTCAGGTTTTTTGCTTACGTCCAAGTTCCATATGACAAGGCCTTTACTTAGTTCATCTTGGGAGGCTTTTAGCCTTGCTCATTTGAGATTCAGGCACCAAAAAGGGCATGGACCACTTTATACGAATGAGGACAATTGATGGTTGAACTCATCTTGATTATTACTGTGTATACAATTGAGGGGTGTGCAACCTCTCCACAACGACCTCTTGATTATTTCTTCAGCATATTGACCCTAGCTTGATCCAAGGTATACTGGGAGCATGCCAATTAATCCGTGTCATTATCTGACTTCGGGTTCCACCAACATGTTCAACAAATTGTCGGAGAGAAAAAGAACAATACTTGAGAAACACTAATTGTTGGGTCAGCCCCCCTCCAATTGATGTTTTAGTGGATGGGTCATCATTAAAGTGTCATTCCTTGACATTTTTGCTTTGCTACAATCTAATTCGAACCCTCCTTCGTTTGACGATGCAAGTGGATGCATTCCCTTTCATCCCTTCCCAAATCCATAAAATTATGTGCGGATTCCAATTCCGGTATTGTGACATGTCTGGTGATTTGTTGTCAAAAGAGATTCTTCAAGATCTTGTCCCGGGCCTTTCACAATCAAAGGTGCCCATTGCTTAGCCTTTTCCTTTTCCTGTGGCAAGCAAACCATGCACAAATAAAGTCTGTCTTGAAACCCAAGAACTGCCAATGGTCTTTTCTTCGCGTGCATGCCTTTTCCACTTGTGCAAGTATTCTGATTTTAATAGAACTGAACCTTGAGCATGACTTCCATGTTGAACCGCTCTAAATCAATTCAAACCCGGCTTGATTAACACCTGTAGTTGCCATCCAAGTGCACATCATGATTCTTACTTTGAATCAAATTTAGAAGCACACTTCGACTCAAACACCGAAAACCCAAGGTCAGGTCCTCAAGCAACAGGACTGCAAGGTCTCGTCTCTTTAAACAATTGCATGTTTAAGTCGATTGAATGATTCCCTCTGAGGATGTTCGGCCATGTCAGTTGCTCCTCCGGAAGGCAGATTTCCATGGAGGTGAAGAGGGGATGAGACTGGCAGCAATGGCGAAGGGCTGCAATTTGCACTGCTCTGGCCGCTGTTGAAAAAACCATGGGGTGTTAACATTGCAGCAATGACTCACTGTTGAAAATTGATACATATATATATAGAGAGAGCTACATCTATTTAATTTAATTCAATGTGTTTCAGGGCTACCGGTCTTTTTGATGGGTCCACTGCAGTAACACGGCCCGGCCTTCCTGGAATGAGATCAAGCTCGCAGCAGAATTAGAATACAGCGAGGCGATACAAAACCATTACAGCAGTACAGTATGGTTGGAAAAATGCATGCAGCAGTACAGTATTAATACATCGCTGCGCATGCTCATCAACAAGAGGTTGGACAAGGCGAACGCCGCGACCAAACATAGAGGAACCAAATATACATGCACCTCCCAGTCCATTGGCATCCACATCCCAAAATTTATCTTTGGAAAAACAGCCTCGAGCTGCAAGACCCAACCACTGCAAGATTTAAGTTGCGAGAAGGCCGTCCGTTTCGTCAGCCTTTCCGCTGTCACCCCTGCTACTTGGCATTCAAGCCTTTCCAGGTAAGGAAAATGTGTATTCAAGTATATATATATATTATATATACATATTCATATGCACATATTGGGCTCAAGGTTTGGGCTCAAGGTTCAGGAGGCTCAAACTGGCTCGATCCTGGGCACTTTGCGAGTACACCTTCGACACCATTGTCACAGAGGAGGGTGGCTCGGCAGTTCTCGCGAGATGGACTGGCAACACTTGCTGCAGCACTACATGCAGGAACTGGATTTGGGAAGGCCGCATCGGAGAAGGCTGCGTCTGCCGTTTGTGCGCCTGGACCAAGCCGAAGCAAGGATTTGCTCCCAGGTCCCCAGCTCCTAGGCCCCAAAACAGATGGAAATCGACACGCAGTGTTACACCACCTCCAGGACTACGGAATGGAACAGGACACAAAGCCTCCAAGCTCCAAAGGCTCACTGGAGAGCTTCTTGTGTCTTCTTGGGACAAGCTGGACTCGGGGTTGCAACAGAAGCTCACAGAGATTGGCATCATGCCACCTCCACCTTCTCCAGATCCAGATCTAAAAGATGTGCTTCGAGACAACCTCCGGTCGAGGAGCTGGTCGAGAAGATCAACAAGCCGCAGCCACCCACCGAGAAGGATGTGGCCAACAAGTTGACCAGCAGGTATCCACACTGCGGGACTTGTCACACGGGAAGCAAAATCGATGCCACCAAAAAGGCATTCCAGGACTTGCTTGATAAGATGAAGCTCATTCAGCCCAAGATTGAACAAGAACAAAGTGAGCTCAACACGACGAGCGCCGCCTACCTGACCCTCGTCAGCAAACAGCCTGACCCTGTGCAGCTCTCAGAGGACGCTGACATGAAGGATCCTGTGCCAGAAGCTGTGGCGGGATTCATCAGCACTCTTGGTGTAAGTCTCACCCAAGAGCAGCAAGACCAACTTAAAACGATGCTCAAAAGCGTCCTCCAAGCTGCACAGAAAGGAGTCCAAACGACGAAGGGGGACGAGGACAAGGACAAGTCTTGTGGGTAACAAGCCAATGATGGCTTGGCAGCACTCAAACACTATGTCTTTGACTTTGAACCAAGGGACTTGCCATGTACACACATGGCTCATGGGGAATGTCAGTCAAGTTGCAGGGATTTGGACAAATTCACTGATTCACAACTTCTTGAATTTTCATCCTCAAGCTCCACGTCGGGCTTCATCCACGAGCTGTGGGCTTTGGAGAACTCTCACATCTCTGGCAGCGCCAGGAGGGGAGGCACCGAGCTCTTCTACCACAGAGCGGGTCTTCACTGACACCCTCATGGACATCGAGCAAATCCCTGAGAACAAATTTGAAGAAGCTCCAAGGCTGCTTTTCCACATCAGCCAAAGAGACCTACACCAATCCTGTCAGGCTTATGCAGAGCAGCCCACTAAGGACTATTGCTCCCTGACCTTCAACTTTTGAACACTTGTTCATCGACAGCTCGGTCTGCAAGGAGATCCACCTCACATACGGGCCAACACGGCCTTGATAGCACAGAACTTGACAAGCGTCGCGGCCAATCCCAAGAACTTGTGCTTTAGGTGTTGAAGCTGGCTGAGCAGTTTTGTCACTGAACCTTCCTTGATATGGGCTTCCTCCAAGCCCACCTTGCTCACGGACATACCTGAACTGGCTGATGTGTGGTTTCATTTTGATGACTCTTTGCAGGAAGACGTTGGTGAGTTCGTGGGTCATTTGTGGACCATTGCCAACCCCCAAGGAATTGGAGGCAAATTCTTCCACAGAAGGATGAACGGGGTCCTCAACAAGTTCCAATCAACTTGACCTTCCCTCCGGTCACACCAGAGCCGCTCTTGATGACCTCATCAACATGTGGGCGGATGAAGGAGAAGGTCAATACCTCTATGGCTCTCCATCCAGCATCATCCTCCACATTCAACGTTTTGAACAACAACAGGAATTATGGACCAAGCATCATAGAAGACTTGAAGTTCCCACCGATGTCTACATCCCGTACTCCAATGATGGCATCTTGATCAACAAGGCCGGCTACAAGATCGTTGCAATGATCCCCCATCATGAGAAACCCATGAGAGCGGACACTTTGTGGCCGTCCATGCCAGTGACAACACATATACTGGATAGCGGATGACAAACACTTTCCCCAGCCAGTACAGGGCGCCACAGAACAGCAAGAAAGAGAAATCCTACAACTCTGGCTTGTTCATGAACTGTGGGAAGAAGATCAGATCATGCAAGAAGCTGAACCACCGTCCAAGAAGATCAAAACTCACTAGGTGAACATTGTCATGATCCCCAAGAATCTCAAGGTGGAGAGGCCCATTGCACTCACCTCCTGCTTGTACCGGCTATGGAACAGAGTGCGCAAACATGACATTGTGAGCTGGCAACTTTCTCTAGACGCCGCCATGCCCTGGGACTATGCAAGGCCCAAAAAAGACTGCCTCTCCATAGCTGTTGGTCGGATGATGCGCAGTGAGCTATGCAAGCACAACAGCATTCACACAGTGACGTGTTTAGCAGACCTCAGTTGCTTCTATGACACGGTCACCCTTGACCATCTCATCCGGCCAGCAAGGGAGCTTGAATATCCTCTTCTACACTTGAAGTTGGCGATCGACCTGCGCAGAGGACCACGGGTCATTCAGAGGTCGCCAGTGATCCGCAGCACTACCAGAAGGGCATCCTCCAAGGATGTCCTCAAGCTCCAGCCATTGCAAAACTTGTCGTGTACAAGCCGCTCAAAGAGCTGGTTCAGCAATATCTGAGCAATATCCGGCAGTTCACTTGCAGACATGGGTGGATGATGTCTCCTTGATGTCAGGGCTCAGGTTGAATCCGGACAAAACGGGCTTCATCGCAAGCTCAAAAGAAACCGCCGCAAATGCTCTCAAAGGGCTCCTGCAGCCAGGTGACCCTGCTCACTACGACGTCTTCCGCGACCTTGGGATTGATGCAACAGCTGCAAGACGTAGAAGAGTGACGCAAGTTCGCAAAAGATTCCAGAAGGGCAGGGCACGAGCAGGCATAGCCCACCGCCTCAAACTCAATAGGTCGGTGAAATACAGACTCCACAAACGAGCGATCCATCCAGTGATGACCTGGGGGCCACAGGCAAACGGCTTGGCGCCGCAACGACGTCAACAAGTCAGGGTGATGGCGGCCAAAGGACTGCGTTTGCAGAGGTCTGGCTCAGTTGACATCATCTTCGACATGAACAAGAAGCATCCTGACCCACATGATCCCATTGTCCTTCGCCGTGTTCACACTGTCTGGAAGATATATCACAGCTTTGACGAAAGCAAGCAACACCTCTTCAAGACAACATGGAACACGGCACTTGGAGCCCTCCTTGGAGCCAAACATCGGTCACTGGCCCGCTTCAAGCTCTTCAGGCCTACTTGTTGGGCTACGGATTCGACATTCAAGATGGTCAAAAGTGGCATCGTCCAGGATATGCCTCCATCCCTGACTGCACTCTGTCCTTGGAGCTCATCTGGTCCAAATTGGAGTTCAAGCTCAAAAAAGAGTTGCACTGGCAAAGACTGATGAGATTGACCAGGTACCAGGGCTGCGACCACATCGGACAGCCATTGGATTGGACCATCAGCTTGAAGCTCCAGAACACAACAAGCGATCGGTTGGCTACAGCTTTCCATCAAGGCACCCTTAATGGCCAGGACGGCCATTGTCCACTATGCGGCGCTGAGCTCACCTTTGTTCACTTGGTGTGGGAGTGCTCGTACTGGCAAGGCAAGGTCAAAGAACTCCCGGATGAATGGAAGGATAGAACCAGCCAGAACATCGAGCCAGAAATCTGGAACCGAGGCATTTCTCAAGGCTATGGCAAATGGGAACACTTGCTGCCATGTCACATTGACCACGGTCATGCTGCCATGCTTGCTGTCTTGACATTGCCCCCACGTGTGTCGAAAAGAGACACTGTGTAGCATCCATCACAGGGATCTGTCCCGAGGAGGCCTCGAGACAGCGAGCCACCTTGTACGCCCTCAAACAGCTGGCACTCCATGCGCTAGATCAGACTCACGTTGGCGTCTCCAACATGCAAGTCTGGAAAGCCTGGACACCATACATGGCAATGGACAAATTCCCTGACCTTCATCAAGGCTTGGAGTTTAAAGATTTTGAGATGGTAAGGCCACTTCTCTTTCTTGCTCAACCTCAGCAGGAAGAAGGCATGCGCACCAGACAAGCGCTCCAAAAATCCATCAAGAAGCAGGCACAAGTACGAGCAAGAGAGGAAGCTCCCACCGAGTTTCTTGCCTATCAAAAGGCCATTGATGAAGACCTGGGTGACATCCTCCTGGTCGCAGCTGAACGGGTGGACGTGATTCTACGAGGCCCACACCACTACATCAAAAGGGAGACGGAAGGGGCAACTCAAGAAAAAATCCCGTTGGTCCAACAGAAAAAGGATTTGATTTCCTTCCTTTTGCAGCATACGGCATACGGATCATCAAGGTCATGAGTGGCAACCCCACAGGAGTGGAGCCATCTGCGGAATGTGCCGCAGTAGAGTCCATGTCAAAAGCATGCTACAGGAGATCAAAGACGCCATGAACAAGGAATGCACGGCCGGCTGCTCTGAGAAGCCAGTGAAGGCTCCAAGGATGACTGACCATCATCCAGCAGCTCATTGAGGCACAAAACAAACCTCAGCCTGGTGTCCCTTTCCTCAAATTGGAGAAAGCATACCTACGCTTTACCCAGTGCCGTGCCTACGCCTTCATTGGCGAGACTTGCAGAAGTGGGCCGCTCCCGCCGAGCATGTGGAAGGGACACCCCACTCACACCATGGCGAGAATGGGGATGAGCGCTCAATGCACGCGTTGTGCAGCGCGGCGGGGCCGGACCGTCGACGACGAGGTGGTGATCTCGAAGGCCTTAAAGGCCCCTTGCCATGTCAGATCACAAGATCTGAGGCTCCTTTTTGGATGAGCACATCTTTGCACAGAAAAGGTCTGTGCAAAAAAACAACATATATGCACATATTGGATCATATTGGAATGCTTTTCTGGTTGTAAATTTGGGGTGGGGTCAGTTCAATGCAGTTTCTGCACAAAGCCTTCATCGCTTCGTAGCGCTTCTTGATGAACTCCACTTGGTCCTAATGACAGCGTGGCCTTTTCAACTGGGGAGCTGGATTTCAAGCACCACACCCTTTACAGTATTTGTTTTTTCGAAACGCGAAAAACTCCGATATTCAGGTGTTGATGACGATTGGTTTGGCAGTGGCTAACCTTTGGACCCGTCTTGGCACTTCGCGAAAGGAATGAATTGCAACTTCGCATCCCAATCTGTCTTGTACAAAATCAAGTTCCTCAAGATACGACACGGCATTCATTGTGTGGAGCCGAAGGCTTCTCCCGCGAAAGCTGCGGAGCCGGATTCTTGCGGAAAAGCAGTTTTTGGCGGCCTGCCTTCCCAACACCCAGCGCAATATGGTTTGTTTGATGGATCCAAGTATCCTTAGCTCAAGCAGAATTCTTTTCAATGTGCTGTTCAACAATACATGTAAGTACACGACGTGACAATACCTGCCCAATCTAAGGTTCACCGGTCGTTAACGCTAGTTGGACAAACACATATCTACTTGGACAAAATAATGACATCTCATGACATCTTCAGTTTTTTTGCCTTCCACATCAAACCAACAAAGAATAGAGCAAACACATGGGTCTATCCAGCCCAAGGCCACAGTCACACACTCACACACGCGAAGTCAAGCATCGGGTTTGGGCAGCTTGCCTGTCTTGGTGAGATACTCCCAATATTGGCGGCTGGATAAGAACTGCTCACAGACATGCCTCGGTGTTAAAAATAAGCGGACAGTGCTGGTGCACAACACGGCTAAGCCCAGTTGAACGGCCTTCAATGGAAGCATTTTGGGGAAGAATGGACCCACAACCCACAACCCACAGCAGCAACAAGAACAACAACCATGTTTCTTGTCACACTCCTCAAAAAAAGGCCGTCTGCAATCCGGCTTGGCCAGTTGGACCCAAGGACTCCTGCACTGTACCATGCGAAGATGAAAGAAAAAAACAGTGTCTTCATCACGGCCTCGCACAAGCTCAAGATTCGAGAAAGATACTCTCAGCAAGATGACATCCCTCTCCATCCATCAGAGCCCTGGCTCTTACAGCCTGCTTGCATCGTCCAGCTGCGGAACAAAGGCAGCTGATAGTGGAGCTGTCACGCCCACCACCCCATTCTGAAGGCTCCGAATGCTGGCCGAGCATGGATGGGCCTGCGTCTTTAGTATCCAATCCAAGCACTGTCCAAGCACATAGACCCGGCCAAGACCCACTTTCAAATTGGTGTTCCAACAAACAAGGGCTCTCGCGGTGGAAAAACAGAGCTCCCATCAGCGTGACCTATACTCAGCAACGTCCAACTCAAAGCCGCAAGTAGGGGGTCTATATATGAGCTGGCACACTGGTGCAATGGGCAAGTGCAAGCATCCAGTCAAAAACGCACTGAGAAGGATCCACATCACGACAAGCCTGTTAACAGTTAGCGGCTAACTGTTGAGCCTAGGACCTGAGGCCCTTTCTACCAAGGTTGGAGGAGCTGATGGGAATGCAGCCTTTTTTAGAAGTTCGAAGACATCGAGCCAGGATCATGAACCTCCACCCCATGTCCGTGGAAAAGCGTGCTTCCATCCCATCAATAGTGCGCAATGGCCATCCCATCCTTTGCAAGAGTGAATTCGCCTGCGTCTCTCGGCCCAAGTTTCCCTGCAACGACGAACGCAGCTATACTGACTTTGTGCAAGCGAGGTTGCCCCGCTGAGCTACGTCTCAAAAGATTTCCCTCAAAGCTCGAAGCCGTCTTCCAAGCAAAAAGAAGCCCTCTGCAACAAGGCCCACAACAGCCCAAGAAGACTGGCATGCGGCATCTGCGTAGCACCAAGCACGGTATGTAGTGGTCAGCGCCATGCCAACAAGCTGCTCTACACATTGGGATCGAAGTTATGTCACCTAGGGACCTAGTCCATCGCTTCAAGCTCAAAGTCACCATCGTCATCGTGTGAATCTCCACCAGCTTCGAGTGCAGTGTCTCACGGAAACTCATTCGAGGCACTGCGCATGGGAACGGCCACCTGGTCATTGCGAAGAGGGATCGGAAACTGGCCAAGTCATGGAACCTGATACAGTTGTCCTTCTCCGTGAATGAATGCTTGTTGCATTGTGGCAATCTTCTGCTCCACATCCGCAACCACCACCACCACCACAACAACAACAGAAAGGACAATAACAACAAGCACAAGAAAGAATCACCGTCAATAATTACACAACTTCTTACTTTGCCTCTAACATTAAGACTTTGACTTTTGAAAAAAAAATAAGAATACTCAAATTGAAGGAAATAAATTGCATACTTGTCCAATTGCACACATGATGAGTTTGATCACCACTCACACGGGGTTCAATCCGCCGCGATGCTTTTCAATCCCTTTCATTTCTTCAGTTACATAGGACGCTACTAGGGGCTCCTGGCCTGACTACTGGGAGCATTCTTGCTACTAGTATACTACATTGCTTCCTGGCCCTTCCCCGCGTCTGCCCTCTGTGTGCACTCCAAGAGGTGGGAATCTGAGATCTACAAATTCCACATAATCAAAAAAGCAAGGGATCTTTGGCCACTTTGCTGGGAGCGGGCACGTTTTACAACAGCTGTTTGAGGGTTCTGGGATTGTTCCGGATTCCAAACATCAAAGGCTGACACCAGGCTAACATCAGGCTTTCAGAACTAGGTCATGAAAAGGTACTTTCCTCAAGACACACGAGTGCAGAGTGTAGTGCGCGGGTACTGTGCCCTGCCAGCTTCAGCCAAAGCACTCCACTTTATCAGTGGTCACTGTCCTCAGACTCCCATCCGCATTCTTAACCTCCTTTGTGTAGTTTGGCCTTGAAACAGGCTTGGCTGCAGAACTTTGTCAAAGGAGCAAAACGTTTTCTGAATTGAACATGTTGGTCCTGTGGATTTTGTGAGATGCATAGAGGGTGGACACATACTAAGTGGATTCAAAAGGTCCTTAGGAGTCCTTAGTGATAATTAGTTTTCATAAATGGGTGCTGGGAGTATGGAGTGGCGATTCAACTACTGTATAGCATGCATGTCTCTGTGTGATGCAACTGATGGTGGCATGTCACATCATGCATGACGTGCCATTTTATACCCACACAAAGCCTTGAACTCTGAGTTTATGGCTCCATGAAGCCTGCATGCCCAGTGCCTGTGTGAAAGAAAGACACTGCAGCAAAAACGAACAAATTTATATATTTTTGTGGAGTCTGTGGAGTGCTCATGATGCTGAAAGTTGAATCCCATCATCTGTCGAAATCAGTTTCGAAGAAAAATTTACTATGCCAACTCACGCGAGTCGAACAAAACCGTGCAGCTACAGTAGTGCAAAGCAAGAAAAGGATACATGCTCTTGACTTGGCCATGGTTGCTTTGAGATCAAAAACCCGCACGAGTCTGAGGGCGAATAATGTATAGATATTAGATAACCTATAAATATATCATTACTTGAGAAGGGAAGGGACGAAAGCCAGCCTTCGTAAGAAGACATCAATATGGCTACGGGGGGTGAATTCGAGCGCGCACTGGAACCGCTGTCAGGCATGGAGACAAAGAAGGCAAAGGTGGGAAGTCGCAGTAAGGGCCGATATGACAGGCTCTTATTCACAGGTGGGGGGTGGGGTGCCCCTTTTCTTTTGGACTGAGGGGTGCTTGCCTGCTGTTTGTCTGTCTTGTCTTGTAGATGGAGTGCTGCTAAAAGTGGACCGAGGAAAGTTTACTGCCAAGATCATGTGATTGGTGAAGTTCGGGGAAAGATTACCGTTGTTATGGAGGGAAGTCGACATTGCAGTGACGTCTACTGCTGCTGGGCATAGAAAGCAGCATGCATAGGTTGGGGGGGGGCTTTTTCCTTCGGCTCAAGGGCGTCTTCAAGGTGAAAAAGGGCACCCCTAAGGAACTGAGGGGCGCTTGCCTGCTGTTTGTTATTCTTGCCTTGCTTGCTTGTCGCGGACTGCATTCTGTTCCCTCTCCTGTCCTCAACGGATGACGTCCTTCCTGACGTTCCCTTCCACTCTATTGGCCACGAGAAAAGTGATGACTGAGAGGCGCACACTTCACTTTCCTTCACCATTTAAAGCGGGCACCCCCAAGCAATTCAAAGCTTGCCCACTGCACTCGGTTCCCTCTCCTATCCTCAACGGGTCACGTCGTTTCTTGCAGTCCCGTCCACTCATACCAGCCACAAGAAAGCAGAGTGTTGGGAGACGCGCATCTCACTTTCCAGAAGGAGTTCCAACCACTTCTCACGTCCCGTTGACCCCCCTTTCCTGTCCTCAACATGAACTCCCACCCTGGTCGAAGACTGTTTAAGTAGCCTCCTGAGCCCTTCGTGATGCTAATGATGCACTCTTTGGCGTCCACTACATCACTTGCATCAAGACACCCCAAAACCATACATTCTCACAGCTTTTCGGACCGCCTCTTTTTTTGGCTCTCCCCCACCAGGCTCTGGGTTCACCATACCCAAATTGTGCCCCTATGCAACCACCCCCACACCCCCTAATACTCACTTCGCTCGCCAATTGACAACTCCAGCCTAGCCTATCGGCTGGCGTTCGTTCTAGTGTATTAGTTGTTGACAATCAATCTTCTGCCAATCTCTCGCGAAGACCCTGCCTGCATTGTTAAAGCCGTTGGAGCTCTCTTCGCCTGGAGCACCTAAGCGCTCGAACATCATCATCTTCCAGCTGGGCTCCAACTCCTCAAGCAAAAGCACGATGTGGTAAGCGCCTCTTTCGCTTTCTCGCACAGCAAACAAACGGCCATGCACGGAGCGAGACTTCACCATGTTTTCCTAAACCCCGGTGGCATATCCACATGATCAATAATCAACCAATCACAAATCGAAGGCCTGCAATCACATTTGTGTGTTTTGTTCGACGTCACAGAGAGTGCACGTTATGTACAGTACTGGACGCGCACGGGTACTCAATGGCCAGCCAGTGTCCTTCAGCATCAGCCCAACCTCAAATCAGAAACCCCTGTTGCCTTGCAATTTACAAGGATTTCAAGACACTTGATTTCCCGCTTGTGCTGCTACCCCCTAGACGAGTTGAAAACTCGGGCAATTTAGACAAAGCAGTTGACTGATGTTTTTCATTCTTCCTTGCCAAGGTACGGTCGCGCTCATGACACCTGCGCCAATAAGGATCACATCCTTGGCGTGTTGTTGTGCAAGCAAAACAGCAGAAGAAAACAAGCTTGAAGCATATAAATAATCTTTCATGATCTATTACTCCAACTGGTCTGATAAAACATCTATATCCGTGATCAAGTCCAAGAATCCACTTCGCGCTCCTTCGGCGGAGCACCTCCACAAATCCCGGAGAAGCATCCTGAGAGAAGAGAGGAAGCAATTCCAATGCGCATTGGACCCAAAGAAAGGTGACTGTGAATCATCGCTAGTAGGTTGGAGGCCATCACTATTTGGATGGAGGCCATTGCTGCTGGGGGTCAGGCCATTGCTGTTAGGTGACTGTGAATCAAGGTCTCCAAGAAAGGTGACTCGAGCGACTTGCAGGGACCGCATGGATTTCAAATGTGTTTCTGTTGTGTATTCCAAACCATGCTGACATTCCAAAAGCAATCAAAACACTCTGTACAGTGCCTGTAAACACTCTCCAGGCGCTGTCTAGAACTAGTGAGATTTACTAGCTCTTGCTAGTAAAGGCACATGTTTGGCATCGTTTAGCCAAGAAGACATGTTGTTTGTGGTTCAAACACACTCAAAACCCCAGACTTGGTTCTGACAGAGATGGGAAGAAACTTCTTCCAGGGACGGTCTAGAATGTCTTCATGTCGAGCATCCAGGTGCTGACTTGGGCTTCTCTACTCGCATGGAGCTGCCCTTGAAGTTTCCGCCCAACCTTGCACTTTTCTCACAGCACTGCGCAGTACGTTGCACTCTGAACTTGTAAACAAGAGCATGCAGCATGCCTGAAAGAAGGTGTATTTTGGTTATTGAACACATTTGTGTGCATGCTCTGAACATGATGGGATCCTACTGGTGATTATGGTGATCAGTCGCTTCGCACATCCTTCATCGGCTGAATGTGCTCTCGCACCATTCATTTCAGGATTGCTACCCATAATTGAGCAAGGACGCTTCTTGGGGCTCCTGGCCTTACTCCTAGAGCAAGAAGCTACTAGGGGCTCCTGGCATCGCTACTAGGAGCAAGGACGCTACTAGCTACAGTATCTAAATCATGATCCGTGGCTGGTGGACATGTCAGGAGATCTTCAGTCAAGACTCTGATTGATCGAATCATCCTCGGTGTCAGCACTCCAAAATTCGGTCAAGTACAATGGGCCCACCAAAAGCATCCGAATCTGTTTGAACAGAGAACAAGCAGGGCCCCTTGATGACTCACCTTGAGATGTAAGCGATCCCTTCTTCGTTTTATATAGTTCCCTGAAAAGCCGTGGCACGTGTCTCTACGCTCTTGATTTCAACAGTCCTTTATCGGCATGGTTGTATTGTTCCCTTTGCCATTGGCAAAGAAAAGTCCCAATCAAGGACCTGATAAGTTCTCTTGGTTACTAACCACTTGCAATACAGGCATACAATGAAGCAATATCTAAGTAAGGGCTGCTAGAATAAGACAAGCCGGTCAACCCAATTTACAATGCTGACCCAAAGGACAATATTCCGGTTACATATCATATCTTGAACAGTTTTGAGCAACAAAAATTTGGGCAGCGTGTCACACTTGGACAATGTGCCACGAGATGCGATGAATTTGGCGCTGCCAAGTTGAAACTTGTCACGAAAGAGTTGGAGGGGTCAGGCTACGGTCTCAAGAGCGTTTCGACCAAGAGGCAGCAGCGGCTGACAAACGTTTTTCCAAGCCTTTGCCAGCAAAGCGATCTGTCTCAGCTTAAACTTGTTCAACCAAGGTCTCTACATCAAATGAAGACAATGCGCTGAAAAGTGGGATACCTGCTAGATACAGGTTCTGGATGGTTCTGGATGCTCTTGTCTTCCACAAACGTTGTCAAAAGTTCAGTCGGACGACAAAGTCATTCTACCAGGAAGCTGACTGCAACAAATGGCTTTGAGGAGTCGGCCTTTGTAAATCGTGTGAGGGCGACAGGTGATTTCCACCCTTGGACCTGGAAAGCCAATCACATGAGGTTGTGAAACCTTTCCTGTCAAGTGGCTGACCATGATGTGTCCGGTGAGGTTAGGACAAAAAATGGCGGCTGACTTGAAATACTGAGTGGCTGCGGGCAAATAATTTGTTCAACATCCACAAAGGAGGAGTCAAAAAAATCGCAAAAGAAAAATCAAACGAGTGTTAACAGTTAACAGTGGACACAAAGGCAGATGCACGCCAATGCATACATTGGAATACAATGGGCAGGACACACCAATATGGTGAGACAAAGGCCAAATTTACCTAGGCTGGCTAAAAAGACAAGATCAGCATCACGTGGCATACAAACAAGCCGTGTTCAGGTTGAGGCGTGCAATGTGTCATGACGACCAATGTTGCTAAATCAGCTCTGCTCGGATGTTTGTTGCGGCCCCAATTTCTGAGCAAACGAATGTGTGATCATTGGCATGGTCCACCGTTTCAGTGGTAAGTGATAACTTGTCTCGCGTCTTCACAAAGAGAGTGGGTCTAGCTACAACTTTGGTACAACGCCCAAAGACTGGCTGTTCATATATACAAGGAAGCAAAGCCAATTCTCCCTCAAGTCACTTGCTATCGAAAGGGTGGTTGTGAATCGCTGCTAGTTAGGATTGCTAACGTCAAAGGGACTTTTGCTGCAAACAAGGAGGCTTCTGAAATTCTTGTGGATCAAACAATGATGCCACTGTCTTTGAAGGTCTGCTTAAAACAGTCAGTCTTCGATGCAATGTCTCCCTGCAGGATGCCACCTACAACTTTGGATGTGGCATATCTGCCCTGAGTACCTTCCATGGGAACCGCAACCGTGTGTATCAAACAATGGCCGCGGTTCCCGTGTTCAGATTATACCCAACAAACTTTTGACATCTTATGTCAAAATTGCTGCGGACATCCATGACCATAAACACGTCGAGTCTAGGGGGTGCCTCCATGGCATGACTTCTTTGCCACACAACCGAGTTCTTTTCTCGATGTGTTTTTGCATGGTGTGCAAACGTGTTCTGTGTTAATACTCCGCAATCATTACTACCACCAAGCATCACTAGTACACAACTCGACTCGATCCCGAAGGTTTTGCAGGTGTTACACCAACGAGGATAAGTTGGATAAGAGTTATGACCTTTCTGCTGCACACATGCTACACGGCGTGACATTCGTTCGCAAAAGAGCTGTAACAAACCTGGAAGCAATGGATAGCAATTGAGTTGAGTGCTCCATCATGCTAAGAAAATGGACTTCAGTATTTGCCAACGGCATTCACATATGTTTGGTGCGGCACACAATATGATACCCATGATGAACAATCCCATAATTGGTCATAAAAGCAATGGGCAGAATCACTCGGGAAAGCGTATGAAAGCGTGTTATCATCAGCAATGGAACGAACGGAACACGTCGATTGCGTACTGATGAGGAAGTCCTTTTCCAATTTTGCACGAATACTGATTTATTGATTTATTGCATTAAGGCAACCTTTGCATTCTGACGACTCTCGATCTCGTGTAATCTGTAGAAGTAGGCACCTATGCTCACTATCCATACATATTATCTGATATGTGTAAAACAAATCGTTCAAAAAGAGGCAACTCAGAGCTCAGAGGCTCAGACACTCACTTCCAGCTCCGCTCCTTTCCAAGGAACTGATTTGAACAACAGAACTTTGTACGTACCTCCTGTCATACATACCTGGCGATCCAGGACCCTCAGCCACATACCATAGTAGTTCCTGCATATCTACAAGCAACATCAAATTGCCGATGAAAACCGGAAGTTGCAAATTGCACATTTCTCCCAAGTACATCATGAAGGCTACTGATGAGAGCCCTCTGTTCAATCCAACCCACAACTCAACTCTGCGAAGGTTCAAGATCCAAAAGGCAATATTGCGCTCTTGTTACACAGCGTATCAATTTCCTTGAAGCTTCATGAGCTTGTGGTTCTGAGCTCTTTCCGTCTCTTGAATCACCTAGTAGTAAAATTGAAGCTGGATCGGATTTGAGGTAATACTCCACTCCCTGAAATAGCCATGGAAGCAAACAACGGCCCTTTGGATATATTACAAACAAGTGGTTTTCCACTTCCATGATTGTTTCAGGGAAAGGTCAAGGACTGTTTCGTGGATCCCACCCTGAAATCTCTGGCCATGTTCATCCCCTCCACCTGTGAGACCACGACATGCGACACGGAGCTACCTTGGATGCCGCATTCATACATGATGTTGCAGTCACATAAACGGTATCCTCCTGGGAGTCTGGGAGGAGGTGCTACAGGAGTTGATTGAGAGTGTGTGGCAGATGCAGCACCACGACCAGAAGCCAGCATCCTCAAACTCAAGGAAGAAAGAACGCATCCTAAATCATCTTAACAACAATTGTCAGTCAAAAACTATTGTCAGAATGGTGCACCTGCCATTAGTGCCATCTGACCCTCTCCTTGGGACGGGTGCACGAAGATTGCCTGATCAACTAACAGAAGGGCAATCACTTGCAAAGAATGGGGATATTGGGAAAAACAACTTGTGTAACTTGTGTTTGTATAGAAACTC